CCCCAAAACCCCAAAACCCCAAAACCCCAAAACCCCTCGATGAAAGAATTTGAAAGAGGAATTTGAACAATAATTATATACTACTTAATGCAAATACATAAAATTAGTTAGATTATCTCTCAATAAACAGGCTCTTTTGATCCCTATAGCAAGCTAGTGATATTTGCCATATCGACATTGACATTTAGAGTAAGGTATCTGTCGCCTCTTACTTTCGCATCTTGAGAAATCATAAGAATACCATCATTTGTGATAAGGAACTATATTACATTGCCAATTCTCTTGGAAGTTTCAATACTCTTTTCTAGGGTTGTTTATCTCTCCTAAGTTTCTACTTCAAGTTGTTTGGTTAGTAGATCAACAATTTCACCCTGTCTAACATTATCCTCTCCTCTGGCTTCGAAGTCTTTCATGACCATTATAACTCTTAGAGCGATTTATTGATATTCTTCATAAGTCATCTTAATTTTCTTTTCACCTTGGGCTTAGGCATTTGGCTGGGGTTAGCTATCAACAACCTATAAAAATTAGTGATTATAATAATTACCATTTAATTTTGATCTTGAGCCATCATTCTTTCTCTTTGTCTATCTTTGTTGATATCTTCTTGAATGTCACTAAAATCAATATCTCCCTTAATGATGTTAATGTTTGAGTTTCTCATCAATCTGCACACTTCTCTGACATAGTTTGGCTTAATTTCGAAATCACAGTGAGCTCTAGCCATTCCTTCACTTAATCTGACTAGACTTTCAAGAGCTCTGACAGTAATTTTATAAGATGATTTCTGAGCATTCTTCTCAGCTTGTCTCATTCTCTTATATTCTTCTTTTAGCATGAAAGCAGATTCTTTGGTAAATTTAGGCTTGATGGATCTGCAGAACTTAATGTATGTTTATAGTTGATCTGTAGTGAAATCTGGATGTAAGGAGTCTTCCTTTAATCTGTGCATGTTCACAATATGTTGAGCAATCATCAAATCCTCATCATCTCTTTTCTCGTCGAAAATAACGAAGAACAAGTCGAATCTGGACATAATAGGAGGTGAAATGTCTACGTTATATCTAAGTGATTTAGATCTATCATATCTTCCTTGAATGGGATTTGCTGCAGCTAAGATTGAAGCTCTAGCATTAAGAGTTGCATGAATACCTGCTTTAGCAATAGAAATGGTTTGTTACTCCATAGCCTCGTGGATAGCTACTTAATCCTTGACATCCATCTTATCGAATTCATCAATGCAGCAAACTCCGTGGTCTGCTAGCATGAGAGCTCCAGCCTCAATACAAAACTCACCAGTCTCTGGATCTTTCAGAACACTAGCAGTAAGACCAGCTGCTGAAGATGCTTTACCAGAGGTGTAGATTGATCTTGGCAAGAAAGAACAAATATATTTAAGGAACTGACTCTTAGCTGTTGATGGATCTCCAACAATGCAAATATTGATGTCTCCTCTTAGCTTAATTCCTTCTTGAGTAGATTTATGCACACCACCGAATAATTGCAAAAGAACTCCTTTTTTAACATCAAGATGTCCGTAAACAGAGGGAGCAATAGATTGAGACAGTTTTAAGAATAAATCATCTTGATCTTTCATCATCATGACGGTGTGTCTCTCTTGTATAGTGAATTGCTTCATAGCGTCTTGCTTTTCCTCATCATCTGCTGAGTTGACGTTTGAGAATCCAAATCTGGAGTCTGCAGCATGAACTGAATTAGCAATGAAAACTAGTTTATAACTCAAGTCTCTGACTCCTAATCTCTTCATACCAGTGACTCCATCCATATTTCTAGCATCATTTCTCTTCATTTTAGCTGTGTTCGAAGTAGACTGTTGTGGCTTTTCACCAGGCTTTAAAAGCTAAACGATATCTGGGACTACGATCAAGTTACCTGTGAAAATCGTTCTATCTCCTGGCTTTGCTGTATCAACAATTTCACCTCTTAAAATCACATCAATTGATCTTGGCATTGATCCTGCTGGAATATCTCCTGAATGCTCCTAAACTCTGAGCTTTTACCAATCAGTAAAAGTGCTATCTGTGTTAATCACTTCCCACTTTGATCTATTCATGCAATTGTCATTAGAACATCTAATTGGTTCGGTATATTTGAACTATTGCTCGATATTTTCTGTGATATTTCCACATTCTTAGCACTTAAATGTTCCTAAAATGAGTTCAGGCTTAACTTCAGTGGTTCTGGTAACAGTACCATGAATCGACATAAGTCTTCCTAGAGCCATGACTTTCAAATCTCTGATCTTGTTCATTTGAGGTAGGTTGTAGTATCCGATTTGGAAGTAGCGCTCTTTTGCGTATTAATGGCCTAGATCGCTCATAAATTATGTGACTGCCTTCCTCAAATAAGCCTCATACCTGTGATAAGAGTTGACTATATTGGAGATGAAGTTTTCATCAACAAATTTGTAGCTAAGTAAGTGAGAGAAATCAATGAACATTGTGCTTTTTTCTTCTACTTTGATTCTTTCAGCCTAGATAACATAGTACTTGAGGGGTCCATTTTACTCGACACCTTCAATGTAAGCTTGATAGTTTGGATCATCTTCTCTTAGTTCATAACTAAAGCATGATAATTTCCAATAAAATATACTTATGAAGGAAAGTCAAGAACTCAGATACGATCTTATAGCCTGTCTAATCTTGATATTAATCGAAAACTTGCTCTTAAAAGTTTGAGAGTCTAGATTGCATCGCTGTATTTATTTTGCGGGAATGAAAATTATTAAATTGCTATTATTTTTATTTTAACAGAATATGATATCGCGGGGTTTTGGGGTTTTGGGGTTTTGGGG